ATCAAATGCTTAGGGTTACATTTTTAAAGCATTTTGTGGGAGAGAATTTAGCTGTGCAACATTTGTTAAAATTGAGAGACAAAGTTTTGAAAATGTAGTTACACAATGGGCTTGAAAATAAGCCATGTAAAAGTGAATCTGGCAGAAATTGTGTCACTACCTGAGGTTTTCTCATATGCCAGATCTTAAACTAACTCTGTGTCTGTTGTGAGTGGTGTGAGACCTGTCACTCTGAAAGGTACAGTTGAGAGAGTCGTTACTGAAATGCATTCTAAACCTCAACTTAGAAGTAGGCCCGAGCTTGGGGCAATGTGCACTAGTGGTGAATTCACTTCAATGTCACTGAGATGGCTTCATTGGGGGGTTGCCTGTGTAAGGACTGAGAAAAACTGAGGAGAACCTCAGGATCTGACCCATCTGCAAACCTTCTAATTAGAATGCTGAACACAGAGGCATGCTAACAAACATGCACACACACTGAGATATACATGCATGTGTACAGTCACCCAAAAGCATGCAGATAAACATGTCTATGTACTTATGCTCTCAGATATTTTCAGCCACCCAAACGCACTCCAACAGATGTGCAGATTTAAGATATACACATACACTCAGATACTGTGTTCATATATTCAGCCATATACAAAACACCCACCCACACACCTACTCCAAGGCGCACACAACTCCATCAACAACTATGCATACCCATGTGTGCGCGTGACCACCTCCTTCTTGGCCGACACATCTGGGATTGAACCGGGGACCTCGAGAGCTAAAAGCATGAGCTACTACATCTTGAGAGAAAAAGCCAAGCCCCTCTAGCTGGGGGCTGTAACAAATCATATCCCGTAAGGACTGGCACTGAGGGAGACCTGTAACACACCCTCACCAATGGGTTACCTGTGCACACAAATACATACATGCATACACACTGATTCAGATCTAAAGAGATGCACACTCTCAGGTAGATCTGTAGCCCTACACATAGCTATCCAAACACATTCAGGAACATATACTACAACCAAAGGAATACACTCACAAAAGCCTCTGCCCCCCACATCCGAATTAAGTTTTTGATCTGGGAATTTCTCTTTTAACAATTTAAAAAACTTGTCACGGGGAAACCCAGTACATGCAGTATTGCACACACAGATGTGAGCGTAAAGCTACACACAAACCGAGGCACCTATTGATCTATCTTAGGGTTTTCCATAGCACCTATTGCTGTAGTGCATAAGTGCTTCCCAGGTAATCTGATCTGCATGGGAAGGTCTCTGGTAGAATTCATGGAGTCTTCCTACATATCCACACATCTACGATTTCTTATGATAAAGGAAGCTGCGCCAGATAGGTTCACTTTCAAGAAATGATTATATGGAATGCTACCAGCACCTTCTGAGACCCTATCTCAAACTAAGCTTCGTCAATTGCTAATCAGGTGGGCAGAAGCACCTTAATTGATCCTGAGGGGTGTAAAGCTCTTCATCTAGTGGAGTGTGTGTGTGTGTGTGTGTTTTCTCGCTTTTTCAGACTCCAAGTCTTTTGGAACAAGACAAGACAGTATGCAGACAAACAAGGCAGGTTTGCTCAGACCCACAAACAGTGAGCAAGCAACAAGCTCCTTAAGAGAAGGGGAGGGATGCATCGATAAACTACATCACACTTATTGGGAAGATGACAACTGTCCGTTTGATGCGGGCTGCTATTTCCAATGCCCATCTGCTAAAGCTGTAGTATACCAAGTGCTGATAGCAGGAAGGGAATCTGAGAGGACACACCAACATACAACACATTCTCTTATTCAATAGTGTTATAAGTTCAAGGGGATTTCAAACATTTCAGAACAAACTCCATCCTTAGCCGCTGCTCATTTATCAGTGCATCGAAAGATTGCGTAACAATGATTCATTTTTTTAGTAACAAATGTTAGGAACTTAGAGCAAAGGACTTGCCTAGATAAAGAGAGAAGATTTAAACATGCCAGGTAACAAAAGACATGTGCAGAAATCTGTGGGAACTGTATAGTAGGAGGGAATTCTTTAGAGGGAACACAGGGACCATCACTAAGTGTCATTTGTACTTTCTATTCAGGGAATAGGGCTGCCCCTGCCTGCATTCTCAGCTGAGAAAGACAATTGTTTATTTGGACAGATATGGTCTTATAGAGGTATGCCATTTATCATACTTTTCTATGTATTTTGAAATACAAAGCTGACAGATTTAGGAGCTAGACTGAAAACAAATGCTTTTGAATTCAGACAGGGGTGGAAAAGAGAGGGGGCCGTGTTTGGTCTATTCTTCCCTTTTTTCATGTACAAATTCCATGGTAATGAAGCATATCATATTGACCGCCCTGAAGACTTCTGTTTATCCATACAGCAGGTACAGCATGAGCAGCAATAGCATGAGCTTCCCTACAACACCCTGACAAGGTGCCTCAAACCTTCTACATGGGAAGAAATCATGGGAATTACACTGAAAAGATGTTTCAGAGTAGTAGTCCCGTGTTAGTCTGTATCCGCAAAAAGAAAAGGAGTACTTGTGGCACCTTAGAGACTAACATATTTATTTGAGCATAAGCTTTCGTGAGCTACAGCTCACTTCATCGGATTCATTCAGTGGAAAATACAGTGGGGAGATGTTATGCTCAAATAAATTTGTTAGTCTCTAAGGTGCCACAAGTACTCCTTTTCTTTTTACTGAAAAGATGGACTCAGTTATCAAATGTGTCTCCCCACCAGAGCAGGGTTGTTCCCTATAGTATATATTCAGGCTTTAAATGTTCCTAATGAATGGACTTCCATCATTTTACTTGGAAGATTATTCCATAGATTAATCTCTCAGTCAGGAGAAATATTTAGCATAATTTGCACTTCATTACTTCTAATTATTATACCCCTTTCCTCACCCTATATGATGGGCACTGGAGGATTTTAAAAGTGGGAGGGCCAAGCCACCAAAATTGGCCAAATTTGAGTGGCACTGCAACCCTGTGCACCAGGTTGCAATGCCACTAACTCCCATTTGGCCCATGGTGCAGGGGCAGCCATCATGAAAAAAGTGTGTGCACGGAGGAATGGCCCTTTGGCTCCTGTCTCCCATGCCTATGCTATATGATGCCTCTCCATCTTTGAGGTTTGCACCCTTTCAGTGTTTGTAGACTATTTCCAGGCTGCCCTCTTAGGGCTTGTCTACATGGTGCTTTAGTGCAAACTAGCTGGGGAGCAAATTCTAATGCTCACCAGTATGTCGCGCACCAACTGAACTGTGTGGCCATTTGTGTGCACTAGAAGTTCCCTAATGTTTGAAACAGGACTACATTAACGAGCACTAGGGAACTTCTAGTGCTCACCAGTAGTGGCCACGCAGGGCAGTTAGCATGCTCCACACTGGGGTGTCTCTTCTACAAGCAATATATATGGAGAACTCTTCAGTTTTCCACAGACAAATCACTCTCCCCACTCCCTAAATCATTTTAACTGCCCTTCTTTGAACTCCCTCCAATTTATCAATATCTTTCTGGTAATGGGGTGCCCAAAACCTAATGCAGCATCCCAGGTAAAGTTACAGCAGGGCACTATTACTTCTCTGCTACATGATACGATACCTTTACTGTACATATACAACTCAAAACTGCACTGGCCTTTTCTGCTGCCACATCACATTGCAAATTCATGTCTAATTTGCTATCCATTAACACCTTTTTGCAGTATTTCTACTTCTCAGGTTTCTCTAAACTAAATTTCTTTGTTACTTTATTGTCCATGTTTCTAAACTCTTTAAGTCCCTTTGTATTATATTTCTGTCCTGTTTTTTTTAACTCACTCTCATATAGTGTAGTTGCACATTTCATCAATGTATTACTCCCTCTTCCAGATCATTGATGAAGACATTAAATAAGGGTAAACCTGTGGTACGCTGAGAGCCCTCCTCCCAACTTCATACACCAGGCTATTTTTATGGTCTTTTAGCCAGATTTCAATCCCCATGATTGTGCTCCTGTCCAAGTCATTTTGATTTAAGTTTCCAAATATGATTTATTGAGATTCTTGTTCCACTGATGTCTATGGGAGTTTTGCACTGCTTTCAGTAAAAGATGGCCTAAAGTATCAAATGCTTAACTCAAATCTAAATGTAACGTACTATAGCTCCTATGTTTCCTTCATCCACTAATTCTGTAATTCTATCCTGTCCCATCAAAAAAACAATGACGTTTGCGGGTAAAATATATTCTTTATAAACCTTATGCTACTCACTTCAGTCTCCAGGGGCCATTCAATCCTTGGCCTGCCTGCTGAGATAACCAGAAGTGGTGCTAATTAGTGCCAATTGTGCTGGTGGATTTTGTGATGTGTAAATGTGTCCAGTGGGAAATCAAATGAGACATGGCCATGTACATTTTCTATGGATTTTTTTGGAGTGGTGGGGAACCAAGGCATAGGGGGGAAACTACCCTGTAAAATAATAGACTTTTTTTTTACCCAGTTTACCTGATCTCAAATGAAAATGGAAAAGTAGGGACAGGTTTCTCGGTGGCTACTGGGATGCTCGGATTTTTTTGGAGGAAGACCAAGGGGCATCTACACAAAAGATTCTAGGTTTGGTTCCCACAGTTCCACCTCGAAAGAGTTGCCTTTAGACCTCTGTGGAGTGGAAAGTATCACAATGCCATGGAGAGTCCTGGACTGGGACTACTCCTGCAACTTCCCATGGCACAAATCTCACTCTCACTTACACTCCACATTTCCCATTGATTTTCCTGCTATACAGTTTTACTCATGCCAGGCTGATTATGAGGGAAAGAAAATGATGCAACAGTCAAAAAGTTCTCTAAGTCGTTCCAAAAGTCAAAACAAAAGAAAACAAAAAATAAAAGAAATTTTCAAAACAACAAAAACAATCCTTAAAAGGAGGAGTGGGGGGAAGAAACAAAAAGAAAACCGGGAAAGACAAATGAATGTTAGAGCAGGCACGATCATGGACAGACGCCAGCTACTTACGTTCACCTCGGTGATTGCTATATCAACAATGCTACCCACAACAATCAAGGCGTCAAATGTATTCCATGCATCACAGAAATAGTGCTGCATGTGGCAGAGAAGCCGAGAAAAGAGAGAGAGAGAGAAAGAGAGAGAGAGAGAGAGAGAGAGAAAGAAAGGAAAAAAGGTAAAAAAATATTAAAACAAAAATAAAACAAAAACAAAAAAAAGCATGAAAGAGGGAGAGAAGAGAAAAAAATAAGAAAAGAAAGAGGTTACGTGGGCATATTAAATAGTCTCTTACCACTTTATAGTACTGGCTGCTCAAACCTCTGTAAAGTTTCACATGATGGAGGGTATCAACAAAAGCCTGGTTAGTCAGAAAGTTACACTCAAGCATGTCTACCCTTTGGAGGGAAAAAAAGCACACACACCCCAAACTCTGTGCGCTTTCACCAGTCACAGCCGGGGGCGTGCTATGACAAGTGAAAAAGAAGGAGGCGGTTCCCCCTCCTTTTTTTTTCCCTGGGAGAAGGAGAAGGACGACGGCAAGTTCAATAAAAGCATGACTAGAGGGGGGAAAAAAACCAGAAAAAAGAGAGAGAGAAGGAAACAGAGGAGGAGGAGGAGGAGGTGGTGGTGGTGGTGGTATCCTGGGGAGGGTAGAGTAATACTCACATTAGTTTCACTGAGAATGACGTCTATAATGCTGCCAATTACGATGAGGAAGTCAAAAACATTCCAAGGATCACTAAAGTAACCCTACATAAGGAAGGGGCAGGCAGGATGGGGATTAAAAAGGAATGTTAGACAGACAAAAACAGTTCAAAATTACCATTAGAATTATTGCCTTGATACCTCAAGCAGTTTTGCTCTTAAATCTGCGCACTGGTTTAGAGACCAAAGACCAGTTCTTGCATCTCTTATGCGAGCCGCCTATTCTCCAGCCAATGTAAGCATTGAAGCCAGTTGGACTCCCTGCTTGAGTAAGGACTGCTCTGTGAGTAGGGGTTGCAGGACTGAGTCCTTCAGGTGTCAGAGCCACCTTTCTCCAAGTAACCTAACACCTTCCGCTATTCTGGTTTTCCTGGGTTGCGTAATTTTGGGGGGAGGGGTAAAGGAATGGTGACCCTTGGTTCTTGCCAGTATTCACTCCCATGCTGCAAATGAGAAATGGCCACTGGGTCCACATTCAGGCTGTAATGGACTGTGCTGGGGCTATGAAAGACCAGGTGTCTCTTAAGAAAAGAGAAAGAGGGGCCTGATAAAATCAGGAGATGGGTTAGAAGGAGCTTTTACAACTCATTGGTTATCACGTTTGGTTCTCTGCCCAAACACCCTTTGTGGATTTGCAAGGCACCACGAGCTTCTACTGATTGTGCCTTAGCTCTTCTCTTCAAGGCACTGAGGCAGACTGGTGCTCTTAGCAAGAGAGATGCAAAATCATGCTCTTAAGTGTCCCGAGCGTCTGTTTGCCCAAAGCTGGGAATGGGTGATAGAGGATGGATCACTTGATGATTACCTGTTCTGTTCATTCCCTCTGGGGCACCTGGCATTGGCCACTGTTGGAAGACAGGATACTGGGCTAGATGGACCATTGGTCTGACCCAGTATGGCCGCTCTTATGGTCTTATGTTAGTGTTATACTCCAGGCTCTTTATGAGATCCTGCCTGTTGCCTCCCTACACTCCAGTGGAGGGTCCTCAGCTCTCGCTGCTTTAAGTCAAGTACATTATGATATTTTACCCACTCTGTGAATTGATGCTGAGGGCAACTTTATGTGTCCAATTTGCCTACCAACCTTCAGGTGGCACCAGCCTCCACTGCCTACCATCCACCCCAATGATCCTGGGCAGTAAGGGGAGCTAGGATCCAGCATCCTTTTCAGAAAGGCCTTATTCAGTCTGGCTGCTGAGCTTCTGGTTGTCTGTCTCTTTGTCACATTAATATCTTGAGCAAAGTTTTACAGTTACTCTCAAGAGAATTCATCAAGATTTGCAAAATACTTTGCCAAGAGCTCCCCTTTCATATATGATCCCCCTTTTCTTCAATTTTAGGAACAAACAAACAGGAACTCCTGTACTCCTGTTATGTATTTTGGTTGCAGAAGGATGGACTAATCTGACTTCCCTGATTCCCAGCTGTGTCTTGTTTCCAGCGATATTGAACCTAAGTTGCACTACGCTTGCTATTCTTAGTGCTGGAAAGTCAGGTCATGGGTAAAGTGTGAGCCTGAGTTCCCAGACAGTATTGCAGAAAGAAAAGAGGGGAGAAAAAATAATCCCACTGCTGGCACTGCAAAAGCCAGGCTTGGGAACCTGAGATTGTTGTGGGCACAACCAATATCTGGGTCAGACACTGGCTAGGAGTTCCCTTCTGAACTCTGGAAGACAGCCCAGATGGATTCTTCTGGACTAGAGAACTCTCACATTTATGGGCCACGCCTTGGGCAGAACAAACAAACATGCAAACCCCACTTTCTGACTGAGTACACACCAGACAGTTGCTGTGAGGGAAATTGTTAGAATGGATTTTGAAAAGAGAAACAAGAAAAGAAAACCCATTCTGAAAAACACAGCGAACATTTTTGTGTGCAAACATGAAACAGGTTTGTTCAAAACCTGAACTCTTAAAAAAAATTTGCCCAGTGAGTGCAAATTTCCCACTTCATATCCCATATTACACAGTCTGCTACTTGGGGAGAGGAAACAGGAGCAAAAGCAAATTTAGGGAATATTATTATTCAGCATCAAGCCTAGAAAATACACAGCAAACATTAGCATGAGCACAGCAGTGATCTCCAGCGTTTCTAGCAACCAGATGGACCTGGAATAAAAGTGTAATTAGAGTTCACCAAGGGGAAGGGGAGGGAGAGAATGGCAGATTAAACTGTAAAGGCACTCACATTTTGAATAAATAAAGAACATATACAGATCACACGGAGCTCCAAGAACTTGCCTTTGTGACCTGACATGACCTCAGCCCTGAGGGCACTTGAAGAATCAAGAGAATAAAGCAGAAGACAGTGGGCCCAATCCCACAGCCTTTCTTCATGAGTACAGTCCCACTGAGGTAGTGGCAGAGCTCACATATTGAAGATCTGCAGGATCAGACCCAGTAACATGTCTACCTTCCATTTCCTTCTCTGTGTTCATCTACCAGTCCCATGAAGGATTTCAGTGGGATTCCAGACAGCTCTTGAAATAGGAACTCTGAGTTTGCTTTTATGCAGCAACAGGGGTAAAGTTCATACCTGTTTGGTTGTTTGGGACTGTGCCCACCAAAATGGTAGCTGTTTACTTTTAAATCCATGGATACTTTGTATGGTTTAAACAGCTTTTAAGCAAGCACGGGAGATGCCACCGTCAGATTATACCAACTTTACAGCAGATCATAGTTTGGGCCTAACCAAGTTGGCCATTTGCTTTTAATGAATATCTGGACTCCCAGCCCAACAGCCAATTTTCACAATTGGTGTAACATCAGGGTGACCACTGGGGCCAAATTTTGTCTTCAGATGAACATGGAAGCCAGTGGATCCAATTCTCTCAGTTACAGTAACATAACATCTCTGAAGTCAACCGCACTGCACTGACATAACCAAGCAGTATGTGGCCCAAAGGGAGCTGTGTATCTAGATCCCAAGGCAAAATCGGGCCCTCAGAGCAGAGGTTCCTTTTTTCATCAGAATTTAATAGGCATGATTCTGCTGTCAGTTACACCAAAATAAATCTGGAGTCACTTCATTTACTTCCATGGAGTTACTGGGGTTTACACTGGAATTACTGATGTCAGAAAATGGGCCCATGTTTTGAACCATGGCTTCCCTCAAATGGCAGCTCTGCTGATCCCAGTCAGCCATTGGCTCATTCTGAAAGTCATGAGTCATGGTCTTGTCACCTTAGTCTCCATAGGAGTCACACCCGATAATGACCCACTGTTGCCCATGTGTGAGGTACACTCAAAGAAGTCTTCCTCACACACTGGGTTGTTTGATAAAGAGGAACCACTGATACTCTTCCAGTTTTATTCATCCCCACACCCAACAGTTCAATGTTTTAAGAACTGAATTCAAAAATCTGATTTTAAAATCATTTCCCTACTCTTCTCCTGACCCCTCTCTACAGCAAAAAGGGGGGCTTGAATCAAGAATATATTATTCATAGTCATACAGTCTAAAGAAATCATAGAGCGCTGCTGCTTATAGTCTTCAAATAAGGTGCAAGGAATATTTTGTTTGATGGAAATTAATTAAATCCTTTCTTAAAAGCCAATCCTTCTTAGAGACATCATCTGAAAACTGCCCATGTGATTGCTTGGTTTTGGATTACAGTTTGTAATCTTGTCAAGAGTTACAAGCACATATTGAGAGTGAATTAGACCCCTTTGGGATTTGCTTGTTATGACCTCGAAGTACCTCTCAAAGCCAGATTCCTTGTTGGAGAGAATCAGGGTGGATGATGAAAGGCAAGCTGACTAAGGAAGGAGCTTTCAGTCAAATAAAGAGGTAGCAGTTCCAAACTATTTTTCCCACCGGAAAGTTTTGATTTTTTTCCCCCAGGGAAGGAGGGGGAAGTGAACTGAAGGCACTGTTTATTTTTGCAATAGAGGAATTTAGAGTGCAATACCATAATTTACCCTTAAAGGGAGACGCTCACCCTGTCTTCAGCCATAGAGTTACATACCACTGTGCTGAACTCTCCTGGGATTTATTGAGGCATTGCAGTCACCCCCTTGTGGGAATTTTTTGGAGTACATGATATCTATGGAGCTTGTGTGGGGGGAGGCCAGATTGGTTACTCATGAGCATGAAGTACCCATCATTACAATAAAACACATACATTTTCTGCCCCTCTCTGCACTCCCCCCAAAAAGGAACTGATAGCAAATCACCCCAGGATCAATTAAGTAATGACAAGTTGATCATACATATGCAGTGACTGACTGGAGCGGAATCTCATTTGTGCAGGGGAGCAGACACTGTATCACTTCTGTGCCAATCATCTTTAGATTTCTTGGCTGTTGAGTTCAGCTAACAAGATACTGCGGTTTGTTTCAATACTAATGGAGCCACTGTGATCTCTGGAGACCATGGCTTTTACACTCTGTGAAAATACTCCTAAGTACAGTAGTTGGGAAGTCTTGTTAACAGCAGAGAAATTTGCCCACGGGAGCCTGTCTGAAGGGCTGAGCTCATAGTCACTTGGCACTCAAAATAAGGAACTGTGCGGGACAGTTCTAGCACAAACCAGGCTATCCCAGGCACAGAATTCCTGAGGGGAAAAGGGGGTGGGGTGCTGAATAGTGATCTCAGCTGGGTTAGGAGTACAGGGTCATCTCTGTGCTAACTGATGTGCAGATATTTCTTTGCTTAGCCACAGGTGCTCAATGCACTCTTACTACAAGGTTTGCAAAAATTAACTAGTCTCTTCCACTGTAAAACATATGTAGCTAAAGGGTGCAGCAAAGCCTCAGTGTTTCTATTGGGTGGGATCTGAATGTAGGTCGGATGGTCCCCAATGGAAGAAGCTGCTACAATACTGCAGAAAAATGGGAAAGATATAAAAAGGGAGAGGGAAAGAGAGAGAGAGAGAGACGATGGGGGAACTAACAGGAAAGAATACTGACAGGATGACCTGGTCTCAGAGTACCTGAAATAAATCTGCACGTCTAGACAATGGAAAGAAACATTAGTCTTAAGCCAGGTGTCTGTTGGAAGAGGGAGTTTATGGGAGGGAGGGTTAGGGGCTGGTTCAAGGATG